ACCAACAAGCTTTGTGGCCCAATACCACATAGTCCCCACCAGCCCCAATCCCTCCTGAGCTGAGGACTGGGAGAGGAGCTGGCAACAAGCATTAGCTCCCAGCACAGCTAGTCAGGAACAGGACTGACACACACACAGATGAACTGATGGAAGGGACTTCACCCTCCTCTGCTGCAGTAATGGAAAGTCTCATGTTCTCAGTATGTTCTCAAGGTGTCCCTTCAGCTCCCCAAAGGGGAAATGGAGGAAGCTGGAGAGACTCCAAGGCACTGAGAGCAGCCAGGGAACATACATCCATCACCACAGCTGCAGCTGTAAGCTGCAGGTCCACCATCCTCTTGCATCATTGAAACTTGGGGCAAAACCCCAGTTCTGATCAGTTGCAGCTTTGGAGTGGGCATGCCCATCAGCCAGGATCCAGCCCAAGGCCAAACACAGCACATTAATTAGCACCCTCCTGCTTTCCCTGGTTACAGAAAGAGTCAGAGGGAGCTCCCCCTTTGCAAACAGAGGGGTCTCCATTTGGGAAAGGATGGTGCTGTGGGGTATTTGACTGCTGCTGGTTTGCCTCTGACCTGGTCTGTGTCATCAGGCAGCAAAAGATTTGCCCTGCTGCACCCTCACCCAGAGCACCCTGCTGACAGCAGTGTGCAGTGTGGGCTCTCCGCACCCCTTCAAAATGCAGAGCACCCAGCAAGCCTGTGCATGGGGATGGCCAGGATGAAGGAGATTTCTAAAGGTAGCTAACAGCACCTGCAGGGTCTTGAGGCACAGAAGGGGCTGTGGCAGGCAACCAGCACTGTCCCAGTTGGCTCAGGGGTGCTTCCATGTGGTATTTCTGTTCAGATTCAGGCACCCTTTCTGTCCTCTGGGATGAACATTTTGCTTGAAGCACAAAGGAGTTGTGGGGACAAACGTATTCACCACCAAGCACCAGTGGGTCAGTCAGAGCAGCAGATCAGCCCTTTGATGCTACAGACTTCAAGAAAAACAGCTGGCACTAAGGTACAGCTCTGCCAGCTCCCACTGCCCACACCTAGCCTAACCAACCCCACCCACCTAACTCCAGCATCCTATTCGCAGACATCGGTCCCAGAATTGGGTCTCAGGTTCCCTTTGGGGAGTAGCAAGTAACCTGGAGAGTCTCTTGAGCATATGAAAGAGCCAAATGGGTTGAGAGGGGAGAAATATTTACACAGTCAGTGAAAAGAGCAAGATCCAGCTGTTTTGCACAGCACAGCTGGCTGGAGAGCAGTTACAGAGAGATCAGCCCATCTAGGGTCTGTCAGAACTATGTACAAAAACTCAGATGTTTAAAAAGAACCTACTTTTTCAATCCTCATTTGATATCTCTCAGTATTAAAGCATCCAAGGCTGGAGCCACAGCCACATCTGCAAAGATCTCCTCATGGACAGCCGTGCAAGTTGGGCAAGCTGCAATAGGGAGTACCAAACAGGAACACAAGACTTGTAAGAAGAGGAGAAACTAGCCAGAATGGCTGTGGGGAGAGAGCAGGTAACTAGCACACAGAAACCAAAACTGGGTATGAACTAAACCAACAAGATTTGTTTGACTTTCACGTGTGTCCAGGTTCTTGGACTCAGTGTTAGAATGCTAACCTAAACATATTTCTGAGATTTCAGCAGGCTATACAAATATGTTTAAGTATGGCTTTCTGTTGTTCACTTCTAATGAAGACTGCAACACAGACCTTGCTTCCTTTACATTCAATACCAATAAGATTCTACATGAAAGCTTTAAAGGGACTAAAATACTGATTGCAATAAATATCTGCATGGCCTCCTTAAGCTGATTGAGCGTGCCAGTGAAGAGTAGCAGAAAGGTCTCTGAGAGGCACTGTTGATTGCTTCTAAGTCTACACATATGTCCACATTTCTCCATTAACTGTGCGTTGAAACATCTGAAGAGGAACTGCTGTTGCTGTTGGTGGTCTGGGCCCTCTTTATATACAAGTTTAGTAGCTTCATCTGAAAGAAACAAACAAACATCAGGAGAAGAGGCCAGGAAAAATGGGTAAATGTTGACTGCAAATCTAAAACCTCACATTCTGAGGTGAGCTCAGTTTTGAGTGAGCTGACACTGGGCACTCTGGAAGAAAAGCAAACTGACTGTAGTTCAGAACAGAGACAGGTGGGTATGCCCAGTCCCACTGAAGCTACAGACAGATTTAATGGGATTTAGAAAAACCTCTTGCATTTCACTTCGGCAGCCATCAGTTCGCAGACCAATCCAGCAGCCTGATCAGGTCAAGCAGGATTCCCACACAGGTCAGTAGGGCTGCAGGCACAGCAGTGATCCAAGAGTCATGAGTCCCTCCTAAAAATCACCCTGAACTCCCCATGCTTTATAAAATACTCCTTTTCAATGACACTGTATCTTCACTAAGGTGATACATCTAGTAAAACTGCAGTTGTTATGACTGTACACTTCCTTTGCATAGTTTTGTTTTCTTTTTCCTTCTTGCCACCTTAACTCCATCCAGATCCTGTCATGACTCATGCTCACATTTAACTTTAAACATGCAGGCAGGCAGCGTAAACCCAGAGGAATTACTCACATGTTTACAGTTAGTTATGTGGTGGGGTAAGTCTGTGGCACCTAGGATACTGGGATAATAAAGCCTCTACAACATTTTATAGGGGGATTTCCTAACTGCCCAAATATAATGAGGCAAACCTCAGCACCCATAGCTGTCTCTTTCCAGAGCAATTTGGAGGCACAAGTAATTTGTTTAATACACAGAAATAAAATCCACATGTCTTCAGTCTCAGGTTGTTTTGGCCTGCACCACACTGCCTACCCATGAAAGAAATTATTGCTTCAAAATGACAGAATGAAGCTGCCCGAACTAAGTAGTTGTTCACATGCAGAAATCCATCTTAAAATTGCATAGAAATCTTGGTCATAACATCAAACAGGATAAAAAATTTGTGATGGCTTCTTGAGCAGCTCTGAAAAGCAATCAAACACTGTCTGCTTCAACCCAAAATTCCAGATCTTGTCTGAAGGACAGAACTGAATTAAGGACTTTGTTTCACTTGTGGGTCAGGTCAGAATTTGAGTTTTGCAGCTAGCCTGACTCCAAAGCACAAAGTCCTTTGAAGGGTCACTTGAGCTTGCTGGTGTCTAAAAGGAAAGGACACATGTGCCATGCTATTAAGAGTGAAGCTTTACCTACATTTCTACCAGCCCTAATAACAAACTGCTGCTGAGAGGACCTGCTCTCCCACCATCCCCAGCCATGCACTCCCACCAGGCTACCTGTGCAGCCAGAGCAGACTGAAAACTATTTCATTTGTATGGCATATGTTTTTCAGGCAGAGCAGCCAGCTGATTCAACTCACTGCACAGTCACCCTCTGGATGCAATGTCACAGGGGCAAGGCAAATGTGGCTGGAGGGGGAAGGACCTGCTCAGCTGTAGTTTGCAGTTATACAGGATCAAATGCATCATGAAACCAATCTCTGAACCCCATCAGAATTTTCTTAGTGGGATTTCAGATGCTCACACTGCTGAGCAAGTGCTGTGCTGCTCTAGTGGTATTTGTCAGGGTGAGACAGGATTTAACAGAGTACAAAGAACTTCACCCAGAGGTACAGTGAAGCCACTGGTCTCGCTGCTAGTAATAGCCAGCAGAATGGCTTGCACCACCAAAACACCAGAGATGCATTACTCTTGTACCTTGCTTCCCGTGAGTTGTGCGAGATGAGGTTTCAGTTCTTCTCCAATTACTGAATAAATTGCCACTAGGCAAAATACACTAGCTTTACGGACACTGCTCTCCGTGTTATCATAACCCTAGGAAACAAGAAAAGAAGGTCAGAAGACACACAGCACTCCCCAACATCCTTTCTGAGCAATATACTACAGAGCTGAAGTACATTTTGCAAATGTTGTTGACCTGACAGACCAACAGAAAGGCCCTGCTTAACATAACAGTTTGCAACCTGAATACTCAAAGAGCAAGAGAATACAATCACTCAGTACATCCTACTTGTTCCTTCTGTGATTACTTAATATGTTTTTAATATCATGTTATTTATAGCATTGAATAACAATACAGTTTCCTAACATGAGCTTGGAACTCCATCAGATATACAGACTCCCGTGTCCAGTTCAGATGACCATGTCCTGAACAGACAGGACTTCTTGGAAGTGAGTCTACCTATCAGGTATGAAACACCACAGGAAATCTTATGCTGAAAGACCCCTGTAGTTGTGCTGATATCTGGCAGCTTGAGCAGAGCTCAAGTTGGCCACCAGGTCACTGAACAGCTGGTGACATCAGTCCCAAACTCAGGCAGGAATTCATCACTCAGCAGCCAACCCATCCCATGACAAACACAGACATCACTTCAGCCCATGGACACTGGCTCCTCCGAATGCAGGGAACCTCTGCTGGGAAAGCCAGAGGAGGGATGCAGCACAGCTGGGGCTGTTCTAGCTGCAGGGACAAAGCACAGCCTGAAATGACAGTCTGCAATCCCACAGAGCACTGAGTTAGAGAAGCAGGAGACCTCAATGAGCTCAGAGAAACACTAAGCTATTGAGGATTGAGCTGGAGAAAAGGCTGAGCTCAGCCTAGGTCCACAGCAGAGGAACACCCATGGAGACACAACCCACTGCTGGGAGGGCAGCAGGGAAGCAGGGGGCTCTCCGTGGGTCCCAACTCAAAGGCTCCTGAACCCATCACAATGTCTCTGCTTGACCTCAAGTCTCCCTGTGGGAGATGCTTATGTGTGCATCCCACACTGCTCCCATGCAGGCAGGCAGATCTGTGTGGTGTTGAGGCCTGAGAGGGCTGAGTCCCAACAGGCACTGGGTTGGCAGAGCCTGCCCTGTACGTGCCAGCAGGACCGTCACCCCATGTCTCCTTCTGCCAACTTGCTTGCAAGGCAGTGGCTGCTTCTCGTGGCATTTAGTCACCCAGCCCACCAGTAAGAGCATTTATGCAGGAAATTAAACGGGCTCAAAGCTCTCTTCGGCCTGAGGGTACCAAGAGGCAGCACATGGGAGAGTGCCTTGCAGCCCAGCTTCATCCCCCCAGCTCCAAGGGAGCCAGGACTCCCCATCAGGACCAGGGCAAACACCACAGCTCCCCCCTGCCAAGCCCTGTCCTTTCAGGGAGATCTCCATCTGCTCATGGAGATCCCACTCCAGGCTGCTGAGCTGCACACTCATGCTCATGTCACTGCTGTCTGACACTCCTTGCACCTTCACCGCTCTGCCACCACTCTCAGCATGGCAAACAAGCACACAGGTGATTCTCTCCACACACAGTCCTTCAGCCAGGATCCCAAAATACTTCCCAAATGTAAGGAACAGATTCCTTCGATCACTGTGAATTTCTAAGGTGAGGAAATACCACTAGCAAACTAGGCTCCGAAACAAGAACCATTTAGAGACATGGAAGCAATTTAAGAAAACAAATACAACTGCCTTTTTAAAGGCATGCTGCTCCCAAACTTTTCCAGTGCATTGAAGCTTCACTGTTCAGACTGTTGTCTCTAACAATTATGACTAAAAACATTTTACAATAAAAGTTTAGATCAATACAGAACTGTCCAATTCCCAGAAGTTGAGATTTACAAAAAGAATTGCAAGATCTGACACTACAAAGTTGGGATGAATGTTGGGATGCATAAGGGGAATTTCTGACTTTGCTCTTGTCCTTCCAACTGTTTATGCTCACATGAGGAGGTTTTTTTTTATCCCAGTTCTCTACTTATCCACCCAAAGATGTCTTCCCTTTCACATTAACTGATTTGTTTGTCACAATCTCTCCCCAGTAAACACACACATTCTCTCTCCTCCCTCACTGCTACCTCCCCTTATTTCCTTCTTGCCTGTAGCCTCATCCCAGCCTCTGGCACACTGCCAGCTGCTTGTGCAGGGGACCAGAAGACAACACTGCTACAGCCAGTGCCCAAAGCTAAATTCACAATGTAAAACCAAGCCTTAGCACTGGCAAAAACACAGCTCCCCACCCAGCCTGAGAGGCTTATGAAAGAGGCTGAATGAAGTCAGCAAGTAGTTTGGTCCTGATTTCACAGAGGAAAGAAGCTGCTTGCCTGCTGGGATTCAAATTCAAGTACAAAGTACCATCAAAGCACAGAACAGCTCAGCAGAATTAAAGGGGACTACAAGATGTACAGACACAGCATAAGATGAGGCTAACTCCTACTCTCAAATTCACCACACAGCTGCTACTGGCTTATTTAGGAGTCAGGCGGAGGCATCTAATTGTGGAACACACACTAAAGAACCTCGGTTTTCTCTTCCTTAAGACTGAAAATGTTAAAAGCTCAAATATGAAAACTTTAATTTACCAAAATCTGGCCCCAGAGGGTCCATTGTTCTCTCTTAGGTCACAGACCTCACAAATTACTCAATGGTGGTTGTGCTTAGGAGCAGTGACATAGGATTCTGTACCTGTAACAACCCAGGAATGATATCAGGTAGGAGCTGATGCAACGATTCCTTGGAAATCCTCTCGATAACTTTTGTCTGCATTTTGATTGCAGCTAAGTTAATTGGATAATCTGCAGTCTGAATGATGGGACAAAGCACCTTGATGCATTGCTCAGGGTGGATGGAACTTGCCAGGGTGGAAGCAGCTTCTTCAGCAGCTCTGACAACCTGAAATGAAAGTAGAGCAAAACCTTATGTTAATGAGGTCACACTTGACAGCCAACACCACTGGTGCTACTAGGAATGACTGCCAGGAAATGCTTGGGGATATTCATTAACAGATCTGCAGGAGGCTCTAGCAAGAGGTGTCTGACTCTGAGAATTCACATCCTTTGCCTCCAGTGACATCTTTGTTCCAGCCAGTGGCAAGATGTCCACCCTGAGTAATGTAACTGCGTCAAAGTTGTGGCTACTTTAAGTCATCTGTCACCCAAGACAGATAGGCACTGCCATCCCAGGAGAAACAAGAGGATGACATCTCTCCAGCCACTGTCAAGGAACCTAATCCCACCAGCCTAGACTTACACAAAATTTATCTCCTTGAACACTATCAGAAAAGGCACTGCTGTACCTTTTAACATGCATCTCACCTGTAGAGTGCTCAGATGCCCAAGCTGAGGTACCCATGGCCACACAGGTGTGTCCTGCCACTTCCCAGCTGAACTATGCTGTAATCAAACCCAGGCTACAGACACAAAGAGGCTTTAGGGTGTCCCTGACCAGGCATGTGCTCTTGGCACATCTAACCCATTAAGTCAGCACTGGGATCACTGTACAAAACGCAAGGAAGAGCAAGTGGAAACAGCAGTCACATACACCTTCTGCAACTAGCCCACACTGTAGCTACACAAAGCAAGGGAGATCCTAAATTCAACTCCACTCTTACCCCAAGGGAAGGCAAATCCACAACTTCCACTCTTCCCCAGTGAGTAGGACAGCTAGTTCAAAGAGGAAAGACCCAAATCTTGTCTCTCCTCCCATGAGAATTTATTCATTTTACGTTCTGCAGTAATTGGATAAAAAAGAACAGGATGGGAAGGCAGGTTTTCTTTTTTTCAAGTGTCTGTGCTAATTGCCAGGCAACAAAATGAAGCTTCCTCTTGGTTGCACTCTTCCTGGCCACAAATAACACACACTTTGCTCCTCATGTTCTTGTTACAGTACAAAACATGGAGGATGCTTTTTCTCATCTTCTCTCACTCCCCTCTTCTCAGGGCTTACTTTTAAAGGAGGGTAAATCCTGAGTGGACAGAGACATCCCAGTGGGCAGACTTAAAAACAGCTCAGCTTTAAGAAGAAAGAAGCATTCACCAATCCTTATATTTAGCATCTCCCAGCTACCCCAGGAAGTCCCTAACTCTGAGCCTAGGAGCATTAATATGGCCTTGCAAGGTACTCCCTCTTTCCTGATTGTGTGGGATGCTCAGGTGCCTGACACTGGTTCTCTAACCCCTCCTAAACTGAACTCTCTGAGGTTGTCTGACAGGGCATAGGAAAGGGTAGGGCAATACCAGCTGAGAGTAAGATGAAGAGACAAAACTCATCCCCTGCTGGCACAGAAAGCCAAATGCCACAATTATCAGCCTTGTTCAAAAGGTCTTTCTTCTTGGCTTTGGCAGAACAAAACATTCATCCACCCAGATGAGTTCTGCATCACACAAGGGGAAGCATGTCTCTGAATATTTACCCAAACCACTCAGAGTCCTGCTCACCTGGCCATGCCGGAGAAGTCAGTAGCAGTCTAACATAGAGGGAAGTGCATTATCAAAAGATACAAACTGCCAAGTTATTTGGTAACAAGAAAATGCAACTAGATCAGAGTTTAGCATGCCATGAGGCACAACACTTGTATCTTGAAAATGGTACCTAGCATACAATATCAAAAAATCAAGCATTTTTTTTAGTCAGGGCTTTAACCTGACCAGCAGAGAGAAACAACCTTAAAAGGAGTGGGAGAAATTAACAAACAGCATCAAGCAACAGGTCTTCCTCCCATTTTTGAAGTCAAGATTAACAGATACACATCAGGAAGTGACAGGAATGGCTCATACTAGCAGTGTGACACCACAATAAGTAGTGGCTATGAAATCCATCCTTTAAATCCAAGAAAATGAAAGGGTACTGGTTGCTACACACTCAGACTGGGAAGCTTGCTGTCACAAGATTAAAAATTAGACAAGTTTACCGAAGGAAAAAAAGGCCAACACACACAGAGGCAGGCAGAACCATTCTCATGGGAAGGCTTTAAGCTTCAGACATGTGGAAGGAGGAAGAACATCTACAGGGAAGCATCATTTTATGCTTGCTTCTTGCTAGTCAGCCAGGTAGGGTATGAATTGAAGCAAGTTTTTTGTCTGACCTAATATAATTATTCTCAGGGATCTCAGAAATACAAAAGAAAACTAGCAAAGCTGTCAAACGATGATGGCAGCTGGAAGCAGCAGGTTCAAAAGGGTGGCTATGAAGCAAGGTGTTCAAGACTAGAGAGAGCCTGCAGTGCTTTATAAACACAGACACTAAGCTGTGTGTTGTAAGGTATGTCACAAACATGATTTTACCTCCCAGTAAAAGCTTAGAGCAAACCATGGCTTGAACTGGATAGTTCGACATCATTCAACACATGGCAGGTAGCCCAGGAATGCAGATCTAAGAGATAGCTCTTTGCCTTAAAGCAGCAGGTTTTTCTCCTTTCCAAATACTTTCCTTATACTCTACACACTGAAGACTAGATTGAGCCTGACTTCTGCTGGCATAACATAAACTGTGTTTGCTGGTGCATTCCTTGAAAGAAATCTATGGTGCATTAAGACCTTCTAGTGGGTCTCTCAAAAGGGAGAAATTATTATACTTCCACTCAATTTGCTTTAGGGAAGGAACCATATTCACATGCAGAAAGCCAGACAGGTGTAGCACACAGACAGGCTGTTCAACTCTAACAATGTCTTCCTTAATTCTATAAAGGAGTAAGCTTCAAAGTAACAGGTTAGGCAGTCTTAGGAATATGCACATGAAATGCTTCCTGATTTCAATGGGAGGGGATATGCTGACATGCAGTATTAGGAACAGTGTGATCAAGAAAGCCACCTGTCACAGATCCCTGTCTTTTAACAGAAAAGCACATTGGCATCATTGACTTTCTGCAAAATATGCTGGACAAACTTTGGATGCCAATTCCCACTGGTTTACCTGGTTCAAGATGCACTGCAGCCAAGGGATTCTGTTCACTTAAGACAGTCAGGACTAAGACTATCTCTTCCACTTAATTTCTTCTGCTCAGCTGTTACTCTCAGTGCATTAAGATGTTGCTTGCTGCCTGATGGCTACAGCTTGTCTGTGGCAATATGCCCTTGGTCAATACGCAGCAGCTTTCTAAAGAGTTTTGATCGTTTCATTTCTGTTTTGATATCACACAAGCTACTGGCAAATAAATAAAGAAAAATAAGTCCTGACTCACCTAAGGCAGCACATGCCAAGTTCATAGGCTACATGGGGCATCAATGTAACATTCTGGGACCTCAGCAAAGCAGCACATGCACACCTAGATGAGAGCTGCATGTAGGACCTTGAGCTGGAGTACTTTGCCATGACTGCTAGTTATACTGTCTCTGCAGAAAGTTGTAGAGGATGAGACAGTGCAGATAAAATCCCACTGAAAACTCAGAGGCTTTGTACACTATTGTGAAACACACAGAGCACCAGAGAAGTTTATTAAGCAGAAGAACAAGGTTTTGCTTTCAGCCTTATGAGGCATGCAGCATGTTTTGGAGCCAATTTTTGCCATCTAGAGGTGGTTACTAAAGCCTGTATAATCTAAGCTGGAGGGGATGGAGGTTTACCAATACCTAGCCAGGCAAACTCCCATCCCTGAAGGCTTCACAGTCTGATCCAGACAGGAACAAACAATTATGGACTTGGTTTCAAAGCAGGAAGTGGATTCAGCAATGGGGAATGCTAAGCAGATGAGAAAACAAAGTGATTTTTATAAGGGATTCAGAGATGAAGTAGATTAGACCTGCTTCTCCTGTGCACTAAATATTTGAAATGCATTGGGGAAATAGAAAAAACACATAAATATATACTATAAAACATCAAAGAATGCCCAGATGCAGCACTTGGTAGCTTCCAGCATGGACGATATTAATTTTAATCGTCTTATATAACAATTACTCTAATGAATCTATGTAGAAACCTACATAGATCATACCATCATCAGAGGACAGTTACAAACCTTACAAATGTCAGAGGCCAGTCTAAAAGCACCTCAGAAAGGTAATAACAATTATCTACAGCTAAAGGATAACTGATTGACAGAGACAGAAACAGGGAATTAGCTATCCTATGATTTTTCACTCTGCAGCTGATTCCCAAGATAATAAACTATTTGTGTATGAATATGTTCAAAGAATAAGAAATTATCCTCATTTTTCTGGGGTGAATCTGAAGCAATGTCGTATCATGGCACTGGGTCAGCAGGCAGCATCTCTCCTTAGTTATGGGTGAGTAACTACACTGGAACAAATGAGTTAATATTAACTAATTGGCAACAGAAAGATGGTTCCCTTCCAAATAACTCCAAACAAAGACTGATAAAAATCAACAAGATTCAATACCATCCACAACTTCAATTACGTTCTAGTGCTCCAAAAGTGAAAGGCATTTACATGTCAACCCCCATAAATATTTCCAGTTATAACTGAAGCAGGCTTGACTCTGCACATCACCCCATTAAATCAACAGCATTGCACAAACTGTTATACTACAAACAGTATAAAAACAAGGTGAAGTTAAAAAATGCAAACTAAACATGGATCCCAACCCAGAGTCTTCTAGTCTATAGCCTAAGGTTACATCAATTTTGACCTGACATTGAGGTCTGTGCTTTGAAGATCTTCTGCATTTGGACTCACAACAAGGTGTGACTCAGCCTCCAACTCCACGTACCAAGTTTTTCCTCTCCTGTGTTCCTGGGAGGAGACACGGTGCTCTTAGCTGTGCTGCTCTGCTGATCCCAGACCTCGCCTTCAGCAGCAGAAGGCAGAAAACTTCTAGCCATGGCAAAGACCCAACTGTCTAAAGACTTCTGCTTGGACTACAGACATCCCAAAAATCTAACTATTCTAACACTGCTTTGATACTTCCAATTATATAATCTGGAATAGAACCACAGACACTTGGTTACAGAAAGATCTTTAACTAGATATTGCCACTCAAGTAGGAGAGAGGGTGACATTTGTTCTTTGGGGAATATGTTGGTTTTAATTTGTCATTTGATCCTCCTGGCCATGCTGAACAGTAACAATATTGGAATTTGGGTAGATAAATGAACCTTCCTGATTTCCAAAGAATTGTCTCTTAGTATGATGACTCCTTGGAGACAGGACCTAAGATTAACAGCTCTGTACTGTGCTCCTCTCCAAACTCCCTTAGCTTGGTCATTCAGACTGATTCTCTGTGGGTCACACTTAACTGAAAATGTGAGCAATAACCTGGAGCAATTGGCAGTCCCTGTGCTGAAGGGGAAATGCAGGTAAGAAAGACTGAAACAGATACAGGTCACTCAAAAGAGCCATTTTCTGCTAACTTACACAGCCTGTTGCACACCAAAAGATCTCAAACCATAAACCAGAATCACTCCTGTGTACTCCAAGGCAGAAACAGCCCTGAAACAAACTTTGGAGTGACATCTTATCAGGGCACCACTGGCACAAGGATTAACAATTTCCTAACTAAATTACATAGCAGCTTTCCTTTAAATAGTTCTTACAGTCTAGAGGAAGATTTTAGGTAGTCTAAGGACAGCATACCACTGCCTTTAATACTGCTCTGATACAGTGAAAAAGAAAACTAGAACAGACCACTCAGATCTTCCTTTCCTTCTTCAGTTATTCTTTGAAAGTGTCCTTCAATCACAAACTGGTGAATCTTCACTTAAACTCCTGCTCAGTGGGATCCAGTCAAAGGGCATCTCCTCTGCCCCTCCTGGAGAGAGCAGTGCTGCAAAGTCAGCAGTGAGAACGAGCTGGAGAGCCACCACGGGAAGGGAATTTGTGACCTTCTGGCCTAAGGCTATGAGTTTGACCAACTGGGCCATGCCCAAATGAACTCTCGGTTAATTTTTCACAGACTTAACTGAATCAGCAAGTCCCAGCTATAGGTAAAAGTACCTAAAGCATATTCCCAGGTATATCTTTAGCCTAGCTCATGTGGATATTCAAAAGTGCAAGTACCTTTCTTAACTTCAGGAGTGCTGATATTCTCAAACTACTGACAGACAGATGATGTCTTTCATGGGCTGCATCATGGTTCCAAGAGCCTCATTTACACAGGGATCAGAAAACACTCCTGAACAGAATGAAAAATGCAGCACCAGTGCCCCCATTTAACAAAGCTGTGCACACACAACAGATAGCAAAACAGGAATATACCTGCACTGTCCTGCTACGACAGCTGTCACCCAAAGGTCCCATTGCAGCAGCTGATTTTTCATATGACGATGCTATGCAAAACCATGGTAAATCACATGTACAGCACAGCAGCTACTTCCTGAGAGCAATACAGCTCAGTTTTTCTATAAAGAAGTGCCAGAACTGCCCCCTCTTCATACAGAGGCATAAGGTATTGTGCTTTCAACATTGTTCTTGATTTCCATAAAACCCATCAGTCCCACAAGGACAGTGAATTCTGAGGGGTGTTAAACATGATGCCAGAGACAATCTGGAAAGGTCCTGCTAGAAATGACAGTTTTGGAGGACTCTCAGACAAAAAATACAAAGGGCACTGAATCAAGGTGAGCTGAGAAGTATGCAAGCAGGAAAACTTGCCAATAAAAGGCACTCCTTCAGAACATAATGTTTTGTCTGACTGCTTTATCAGGAAATCAATTTACAACTGCTTCTTATTACTCTGAACTGAAAATGACAGGAGTGCAAAGGCTCTAAATCTAGGAGAGGAAGGTAGGCAGAGTAGGGCAGTCCTCATTCACTAAAGGATTAAATATTTTCTACTTTTGCATTTTAGAGAAATCTAGACTGTTAGCTTCTTTCCCTGGGGGTGTTTTTTGTTTTGTTGTTTTGCTTTTTAAACAGTACAGTTTCTGCTACCCACAACTAACATAACCTTGTGCCATTTACGCAATGCTCTGGAGCAGTCTGATCTCTACAATGATCTTTTCATGGCCAAATCTCTTCAGACAGAGATACCTACAATTGCTAGCTTAGGACAATCCTGTTGCAGAGAAGAATAAATGTCTTAGATTTCAAAGCAAGGACTCTGGTAACAAAGCTATCACAGACATATAGAGAAATTCTGGTAGCACTTTCCAAGGTTTAGTTCAAACTTGCCACATGCACAAGGTAGATTAAAAGATACAGCTTGGAAGTCAATCTACAAAGACTGACTTTAAATGTGATTTGAATTGATCTGCTTCAAATGTTATCACATCTCTTTATTCCTGCTTTACTCCAGAACACTTTCAGTTTTACATACGAGTTCTCTCACAGAAGGAAAATGCATTTCACCCTCCCCTTGGCTTCTTCCCCTTCCACTGCCCCTGCAGTGTCACCTCTTTGTCCATTTTCTCCTGTTACTCACCAGTTCCCATTTCTCCAGCACAGCTCAATTTCACCATTCAGTTTTCACACACAATTCTGCTTGAACATGGCCTTTGTGTTCCCCAGTACATTTTCTATCCTTACCTGTACAGACAGAGGCAACACAATGCCTGCAGTGTGCTCCAAAATATAATTACACATGCATTTTCCTACTACATTGTAGTAGCCTCTCCCAGAACGAGCAAGGAAATCCTAGGAAGTTGATAAACACTGGCCTGCAATTCCAGATAGCTCCAAGACCACATAAACTGCTCTGCTGATCTCAACTTTTTTCCTCACTGCTTCAGCATGTAAAAATCCTGTCTCTTCATACTTGGGAGACTCGATATCAATTTGTTCTACTGTCAAGACAGGTCAACGTGTTTGCTTGTGAAGTCTCACAGGTTCTACATTTCTTCAGCAGGTCCATATTGCTTTCCCAGCAGCAACACTGAAAGGCTCACTCACCTCCTTGTGGGAATCTTTATGTGCTTCCAGTGTTTTCATGATAGTCAACTCCGCATAGTTCTTAAACCTTGCTGGCTGATTCCGTAAGATCTCTCTCAGGACTCTCAGTGCCAGGGCTCTTATTGAATGCTGTGTCAAGAAAAATTCACATTAGAAAAAGTCAATCCTCAAAACCCTATTTTGAAGTAAATTCTCATGGCTCCCTATGCCACCGGAAATCTTGCACCGCTCTACCCACTCCAGTGGAGTGAGTGGTGTAATCAATGTAATGAAAATTCAGATTGGTCTCCTTGCTTGCTCCTGCACAAATATCCACAGAAAATTACTGTTCTCACAGATACAAGAAAGAATGACTGTGCTTTGTTTAATTCCAAATTCTTTTGGCTGTGAAGTACAAATCTGTACCCACAGCAGCATGTCTGCATTACATGAATTCACAAAGAAGCTCAGATCATATTTGTTTTGCCCTTCCTCTTTTGCTTAGCTTTGCAGATATCAAACTGGGCTTCATCCATGCCACAAAGCTGTTTCTCATGTACTAATGCAGGAAAATTGATTCTTCCTGTAACTCCTATGGAAATTACTTCCAAGAACAAGTTAAGTTATTGTAGTCAACAGTGACCTACATCTCAATTCTTTATATCAAAAGATCAGTAGCAGAAGGAATTTATAACACCTGCATAATTTCATAACTTGTATTACGGTTTTGACTTGTGGCAACTCCGAAGAGATTCTATCATTTCAGCAGAGGAATACATACTTTACTTCATACTCTGTCTTTAAAATATGCACTTCGCTATTCATTTGCAATATTCATGCAGCAGCACAATTCACATGTACTTAGACAAAGCCACTAGGCCTTCTGATACCTCTGTGATGATGCTATGATTAAGCATGTAGAATTAGAGAAGCTCATGCTTATACTACAAACAATGACAGAAAATGTCATCCACACTACACTGCTTCAGAACTCAAACTTCTGAGACTGAGCCATATACTTTACAAGAAGTATAAGAAACACAACAGAATTTTTAATCAGATGAAATGAAAAAGAACTCTAAGTGCTTTGAAGTCTCAATGTTGTAATGTTCAGATGGAGCATGGATGTGAAGGTGCAGCAGGATACTGAGCCTTTACCAAATATCATTGTGCTGCAAGCTGAACAAATAGCCCCAAGTGGAAAAACGTTTAGTCTGTAAATTACCACTTTGATCAACTACCAAACACAAAGCTGTGATAATAATGCAGCGTTTTTCAATACTTCAAAACAAGATCCTCTATAAATGCAGCTTGTCCTAGTGTCATTTTGCATGAGACAGTGACCCATCATTGCATGAGATCTAATACCCTGGATCTTTAAACTACACAGGGGAAAAAAATAAAATATTCCAGAGTGTCTTTATTCTCCTTTTCAGGAATGGGTGTGAAATAGTTGAGAATTTGTAATTTCATCCTAACTCAGAAGGAAACAACTAGTGAAGTCTTGGTCATTTTTGTACTAGATTAGAAGATAACGTCTTTATTCAACTTCCAGTTCTTTATTAAGTAACACTCTGGAGGGAGGGGAAAAACTGGGACACTTCAGAGTACCTTAAAACTCATCACTGAAAACTAGAGTTGTCAACCTTCAAAAGCAAAAATGAACAGTGCAGCATCACTGGTAAGTAGTAGGCTTCATTTAAACTAGCGTGAAGGAACTATCACCATAGATGAAGCGAAGTACAGGAAAGTTAAGACAAAAATCTACATCTCACATCTTTGTCTCCAAGTGTTTCCAGCAGCAAGAGCAGAATGGTTTTGAAATGCTCCTCCCAGACTCCAAGATTATCTTCCCTTGTGATCTTTAGCAATTCCAGGAGAGCTCCTTTCCGCTCCTCCACCCGCTCGTTGTGGTTGGAGAGCTCTTTCAGAAGATCAGCCACCAAATCCGAATGGTCAATGGGTACTTCTAGGACAAATGGCAGCAAATCATTTGGAGAAACAGGGAAAAAGATCAAAGATGCTAGGATTACTAACTATCTACAGAACAAAGTGAGCACAACAATGGGTCCCCCAAAAACGCATCAAATTCCTGGTGGCCTCAGCCAAGCAGGCAAGAGAATCTGACCAGCCCACAATTCAACCTGAGCTCATAACACAGCTCATGAATCATGACTGCACAAGGCTTCTAACGAACAAGGAAGAGATGACAACTGGATTTTTTCCAGTTCCAACAATTATTTCTACAAGATGAGAGCTGCCGTGGTTTTTCCCAGATACACACACACCCAGAACCAGTGGTCACATGTATGACCTTTAGATCAAAGTACAGTGACTCATCAGTGCACTGCAAAAGAATAAAGCTGAGGCGTAGCACTACTTAAATGAAGTCAAACACTCAGTAATAACGAGCTATTGAGTGAAACAATTCACTCAAAGAGGGGAAGGTCCCAAAATAGTATCCCTACAGATGCATGTAGATGCTTAAGGGACTAGTTTGAGGGAAACTCCAGGCAAACAAAAATCAAACCCACAGTATAGCATTTTCTCAATAGCCACAGATGAGGTTCTGCTGGGACGTAAGAACAAAGGATATTTCATACCAAGCCTTGACTCAAAGTAATGTATATAGCTAATGAATGAGCAGGGTTGTATCTGAGAGCATACCCAGACACACAGAGAAAGGGAGCAAGCTGCCTGCAGTTTTATGAGGTAGGCTGATACAAACCATCCCGAAGCTGATCCATGTCATCATCGAACACTGCTTCCTTCAGGGCAGTCTTGTCATAAGTGTTAATTGTGTCAGCGTAAGGGTAGGGGTTATAGTCTCGAGCGCGTGGCCCCGAGAAGGCGCGGGGTGGCTGGGTGTTAAGTAGGGAGGTTTTGTTATCTAAAGCCATCCTTCCACCTTCCACAATGTCACTGCTTCCACGGACATCACCACTGGGTAAAGCCAGGCCACCATCTCGAGACACCTGGGGGATCAAATGGAAAGAGAAGATATGAGACCCTTCAAAATTCTGTGGAAGCTGTAGCCTTTTTGGAGTTTACCCATCAACAGGAAGAGGCATAGGATCATTTACATATTATTTATACATAATACTTAAGGGAAACCTAAGTTACCACATCTTTCTTTTATATTATATATTTCTAAAACTGCACAAGCTGGCAAAGATAATAAGCTCTGGAACATGAACAATTTGCTAAGAAAGGGAAAGGAAGCAAAAGCAACATCCTCCTCATGAAACCCACTGATAGAGACTGAATGATGCATAGCAAGCTAATATGACGTGAACAATAGAAGGGTCGTGAAGAAACATCTTGGACCAAGAACTTTTAGCTTAGAAGGCTAATTTTATCTACTCATATAAATTTGGTCATCCAGATAGGAAGCAAAACTGCCACAGAATCATAAAATATCTCAAGCTGGAAGGGACCCATAAGGATCATCATTTAAGATTCCCATAAATTTTGAAGGCTGTGTATTTAATTAAAACAAATGGCACCTCACATGGGACATAATTCTGTAACCATTCATGCAGTGGTTACAGAAAAAAAAGACTTTTCCTGTGAGGGTGGTGAGACACTAGCACAGGTTGCCCAGGGAGGTAGCGGATGCCCCAACCCTGGCAGTGTTCAAGGCCAGGCTGGATGAAGCCTTGGGCTAGGGGGCAGGTGTCACTGCCCATGGCAGGGGGTTGGCACTAGATGATCTTTAAGGTCCATTCCAACCCCTGAAATTGTATGATTCTATGATTAGTGGGACCCCATAATTAAGGTATAACCACTAAGCAGAAGATGCTTCTAAGACTAGAGCAGGAATAACTGAAGTTTGTACACTAAAAATCCACAGCCAGGTTTGATTACAATGTTTTAAAATTTCACCAATCCAGGAACATTGATCAGTTGAATACTTACAATGTCACAGTCTTTCTTTCCATCACGTTTGATTGGCTCATTCAGGTCCTCTTGACTACGGAAACTAAATTTTTCAATCGCTTCCGTGACTCCACGAAGAGAGCTGTAGATTTCATCAGAGTTTAGGTTCTCCGTGTCATAATCCAGCATACTAAAGACCAAACGTATATGAAATGTTACAAATGATATTGGAATCTGATTAGGAGTGTTAACCTAAACAAGTCAGAGACAGATGGTTTGGCATACCCTTTCTAACGGTCACTTGAAACAAAACATGGATGGAATCAAAATTCAGGTCTGAGTCTCCCCCGAAACGGGGCTAAATCTAGGAGAAGCTCCACTGAAATCAGTGGTGTTACACTGCTGTAAGTGACGGAAAATCAGGTCCACTGTTTCTTACATTCCATTGCAGTAAGTGTGCTAGCTTCTGTAAACCAAAAAACCTATCCCCAGTATGATAATAGTGCAATTTAAAAAGGGAAATAAAGTCAATCACTGTGAGAACTCAAGGGTTGTGACAGCTGGTGGAAATGAAATCAATGAAATTGTTTAATAATATGCAAAACTCTGACAGATTTAAATGGAAAGGAAAATGTATCTTGACATAAACCTTAGTCTAACATGGCCCATTTAAATCTACAAAGTAGTAAAACCAAAACCACTTGCACAATGCCTTGATAAAAGATGCATTTCTGTATTGAGCTAAGTTTGGAAATTCTCTAACTCAAATCTGATGCTTTTTTGCAGTCTGTTCCTCAGAAACTTCTCAGCAGCATAAAGCCACGAAAGTTTTGGGATTCCTTGAGGAGTTATCCAAAATTAAGTTCCATGACAAAATGCAAGTGCAGATCTGGCTAAAGAGGAGCTCCTACAAACTTGGAGAAAATAAAAAGGCATTATTGGCAGGGCTTTGCTCTCTCTAGAAGTCGAGTTTGCATGACAATCAGTATCCAAGAGAAATTTAAATGAATAGACCCAGTAAGAGAGGACAATTTCTCTGGTGGAGTCTTGGATCTTAGCGGAGCCAGATGCAAATAGACTGAAAGAATCCAAGACATTTGCAGCAAGTTGTTTGTCAATAAATTGCAAGAAGTGGCACCCTACAGTGGTGAATTATTATTTTTTAACAGTTTGGGAAGGATGACAGGATGGGCTTGGAGGTGAATGGCTGAACAAAGAGATGTGCTCCTTTTCCACAAAAGAAAGATTCCCTGTGAGGTGGGTGTGGAAAAAAAACCCAAAAACCCCAGAAAATCCCTTCTGAATCCTGGGTACACAGCTATTATTTTCAATAGAACTGAAAGTAAGATATTAAATATCTATAACCACTGGGGTTTTATTCTGCAAGAAACTTGGGAACTTCAGACAGAGGAAAAGATTGGTGCTGCCCAATTCCTTCGAGATTAACACACTGAAAATAGCCATAATCCCTGGCTCCCAAGCAACGCGCTCGCACTACACTCACACAAGCATCAGCACCATGTATTCTGGCAAAGAAACCAAAGAACAGCTCCCCAACTTTAAACAGTGTCTGTCAAGTCAGGGAGAAAGAGAAACCACTTAAAGAACAGACCAAGTTCAGGAAACAAAAGCTGTTCACAAACCTACAGAAGTCACAGTATTTAGGGCTTTCCAGACAGCTGAACAACACTAATGCACTGTGGTGGTTTGCTAGACAGAAGAGAAGGCAGTTCTTAGGTTTTTAGAAGTATCAGGCAGGAATAGGAAAATCTTAGTTTTGTATGATCTCAAAAATACACATCTTGAGCACAAGCACATTTAATTGATAGATCTTAAAGGGTTCTTCATACAATATTTAAGTGAGCAATGAAAGCATCATTTGAGAAGGTTATACATGTGGCTGTACCTGTGTACTCATACCAAGAGACGACATGACTTACCAAAGGTCACACAGCTACATATCCATGGCAAGAAAATGAGAAATAATCACAAATATACTGACACTAAATCTTCTGCTGAAATGATCAGTTCTTTCCTCAGGGATGATTTTTGCCCTACGCTGTTACCGAAGAATAATCAAAGTACAGATTCTGCAGTGCTAAAGGACTAATTTCTCAACAGAGACACCAATCTGATGCATTTGTCAAAGCACAAAACCACATTTTAATAAAAATGTGAAGAATCCACTGATTTCATACGTCAAGAGTAAGCCTGCGTAGGAGACCACATTATGGCTGTGTTCTACATGAATGAAAATTCTACATGTGAACACACATGTCTATTGACAGTATGTGCACTGGAATACTTCACAGACAACACAATGGGGGGAAGAAAAAATAAAATGGAACTACACTCACCTTTCAGGAGGAAAAAAAGGTACAAAAGGAAAAAAAAATATGACCCATGCAGAAAACCAGAGGAAAGGCACAGGATGAATAAGAAGTGAGTAGAGATGAGCAGTGTTTAGGGATGTCACAACATTATTTTCCATCTTCTGCTGCACAAAACTAACGCAGCTGTCTAGAAGTTTATCAAGATACAATTTGGCAGTTTTCCAGTCTGGCATGAAATACATTTTACTTCCATAAACTATTAGCCAGCTTCCAATCCAAACTATGTATAAGTAACCCACAGTTTAGCATCTTCAAGCAGTACACAGTAACTCACTTCCTTGCACTTTCAGGCTCTGGGCTGGAATACATGTCACATTACTCCAAAGCTTCGTGTCAGATAATGAAAAACAGAAAAAACCCCCATTCTCAAACAGGTTTATTCCAAAAGCAACATGGATGACCTGCAGGTATCTTAGTGTCCTAGAAGAGTCGAACACTAAATTAAAGCTTTAATTCTGCAGACACCCCCAGAGGTACAGACTATTGGATTCTATTTTCTCTCTCAGGTGTCACAGATTCTCAAATTCTGAGCCCTCAAAGAGCAGTTTGTTTACTTTTCTTTCAATAGGTTTTCATTAGGAACTTCCTGTTTCAAGGAAAGACTATACATAGTCCTTCCTCAGATATCAGGTATATTTAAGTCAGAGAAAACCACATATGCAGGTAGTTGTCCAGGTATAAACTTAAAAAAAATCCAAGGAGTTTAACAGAGAGGTCTGACAAATTAAATTTGTATTCAGAAGGAGTTTTTTTATTAAAACCAGTATACAGCTTTAGTCCAGTATACTGAGTCAAGATCTGTAGCAGACGGGAACAAAATGTGAGGGCACAGGAGGAGGAACAGATGCCAAAATAAGCAATTGATAACCTATAAATCTTCTGGTAAGGACAATTTTAATTTCATTACCACAAATTTCCAAGATGTCCCACAATCACCCTATGCAAGCAGCTGGTAAAATCATATATGCAAGGTTCAATGTGAAATCACTCCTGAGTTGTATTTGTCTGTTTGGAAATACTTGTGTGCCATGTGCACAGTGTAGCCAAATTGAAAGATATTGCCCATGGTACCATAACACAACCAGTGCCTGCCCAAAGTGCTCAGCAACTGTGTTCTGCATTGGAAACCAACTGTGAAACATCCTCCCTGCCACCTTCCTGAATGGGAGTGAGAGTCTGGAAAAGTTCACTTAGTTTTCCCCACTTGCACACTGCATCTTCCCCAAGCAGTGAGGAAGTGGCTGCTCATTACCTCTGCTCTCTGAAAATTGTCATCATCTCCTTTCCTTTTCCAACCAAAGCCTCTGCAAGTCCCACATTTGAACAAATCCCACGGCGTGAAAGGTAAATAATACTGTGACACCTCAGACAAGTTGGTTTAACAGGTAGCTTGTTACCTGGGAGAGTAAGAGCGTCTGAAAGTCTTGTGGGAAGGAGCAGTGGGGATGGAGTTAGGCTGAGAAAGGGGAGGGGGGTGCTTCGACAGCCCATCTGCACTCCAACCCCAGAGCCGACTGCCGTGATCAGAGGAGAAACAAAAGAGAGAAAAAACAGAGAAAGGAGAGGGAGGGAAAAAAAAAAGAAACTATAATCTGAGTGGCTTAGTGCTGTCATGCTGCCTTGGAGAGAGAAAAAAATTAATAGAAACAAAATTAAACAAGAATACTCCGTTGAGCCTCACAAGTCATTGTTTGACCTTTATTATTCATTTCCATTCCTACCATAATTATATGATTCACAGAAAAATAGACCCTGCTTGTACTAACCAGTAGATCTTACAAACAGATATAGTCTCTATAAACAACTCTTAAAATGTTCTACATAAACAATCCCTGACCACGCATCTGTATTCAAACTCTAAGCAGGTATTTGGAAGCAACAGGATTTCCCTGGAACAAAGGAAATTGGAGTTGACACCCTAAGGTACCTTGTAAAGTTTATCTTCTGGTGCCTTTATAAGAGCCTGCAATGAGGCCCTATGCAATCAGCAAATCTTTGCAGGGCTTAAGATGTGATCCTATTTCATCAGATTCAAACTGAACCCAAATATGCAGCAAGTGAAAGTCAGCCTAGAGTGTAAATGTATAATGTAGATTGGAGACATGGCCCAGGACTCAACAGACAAAGTTGGGAAGACTGGATGAAACCAGTCTCTGAGTCCATTCAGATCTCTCATTAAACTTCCACAAGCCCCTTTGAGTTATTGTCTGATCCTGCACCTTTGGGTCAAGACATCCATCCCTGTGTCAATTTGTCTACCCTTTGCTTTTGGCCTTTTCCCTTTATGGAACATGGATTTTCAAAACCATCTTTTAAGTGAGAATATAGATGCTTTAGCTGGTGGAGTATTCATGACACCACTTTGTTTCTATTACATTTCAGCACAGTCTTGGAAAGTTGTATTTGGATATATGCAAAAGTGAAAGATATTTTAGAATCAGAAGTGGCAAACAAGTAAAAAATTGCTCCAGTGCAAACAGAAGCAATGCCAGCTGAAACCTCCTCTGAAGAGCAGTGTCAAGAAGATCACTCGTTAACCAGCAAACCCCACAGCTATTACACACAACTATTGCTAAGGAAATAGCTCAGACTGATGATGAGAAGTCTCACAGCTCAGGTCTCACCTACCTGCAAACGGGCCACCCAACAATGCAGATTTGTCCTTACTGCACAAAGTGGGTAGGTTATTTTACTTCTGTTTCCATGCCTTGCCTTGCTCAACTTAATACTCAGAGTGTCAAATTTTATTTTTAATGGTATTTCCTACTATCAGTGAAAAAGAAAGCACATAACTGTACACAGCCAAATAAAATTCTTAGCCTTTTATTTTGATGCATTTCCTCTAGAGATCTTTGATGGACTACATTTTTTCCTTTGGGTGTTTTTTGCTTGTTTGTTTTTAATAATTAGAACTACACACAGGTTTGAGGGTTACTAATAATGGCAGAAACCATAGGGCAAACATATTCATTTGATATTCCTTCAAATACTTCTACAGAATTCTAGATGAAAATTCCCAACCTGAATGGAACATTTGAGGTTAATGAAGTTCATTCACCATTCAGAACAGTACTCTTACACCAAAGGACAACTTAGTGTTTTCCTTTTTGCCATCTATTAAATCTCAGAAGACTTTCTCTGTCCAACACAAACTCAAGTCATTCATCTGCACTGCTTAAGAAATATTCTTTTCTTTCAGTCTGCAGTCTGGGATTTTTCTTATTATTTTCCATCTTCCCAAATGCCCTTCCTTGCTTTTCTTCTGCAGAAAGCACCTCTTTTTTTCCATAACTCCTCTCCTCCAAAAGCTACAACTGTCAAGTTAAAAATAAAAAAGGCAGATACAAATGCAGAAGTAACTCACAAATATAGGGGTATGTTATAGTGATTGTGAAGCAGAACTGGAGGGAACAAAAGAAAGCAGGAGAAAGGACTCTGCTAAGGTCCTGAAAGCATGCTACCCCCTTGAAGAAGCTAACATCAGGAGATACTTACGGAGATGATACCATCTGGATAGACAAATTAGCTATTTTCAGAGTCCACTTCAACCAAAACATTCAAATTCTATCCAGAGAGCTCAAATACATGCACACACACACTTAAAAAAAAAAAAAAAAATCAGTCATCTGGATTCTAAGTTATACTTAGTAAGTCTGTATCAATGAAACCTTGCTGATTAATACTGAGAATATTGTCCACAAACCATTAGCAATATGGGAGAGTAGCTACACTTAGCAGCATTTTCATATTCCTACAGGACCCAAAAACATCCTTTCTACACATCTCCCAGCCCCAAAGACATGTACATCTCTAGATATGACTCCAATCTGTGCATCAAGAAAAAAAAAAATCAAAGGAAAGTATAATCTTCAAAACCAAAGCTGGAATTAAGAACTGGAGATAATCCTTCCACTGACTGCACTCAGGCTGCCTGCAGAAGACACAGGCAGGGACAAGGCCTGCCCATGGAGAACTGCTGGAAGCAACAGGCAGACATGACCACACTAAAAACCTTTGGCAACAGGTCCCATGAAAATGCAAAGCCAAGCCTAGTTTCAGAGGAGGGCTACACAAAGAAGATGGGAATCTTCATCCTTTTACACTGCTATCAGAATGACTCGGGTGTGCTTATGTTCAAAGTTTGTAGAGAGAAAAGTGACATTTTACACACTGATGAACAGCAAATGACAAGCATTTGAAATGGAAACATGATACTGAAGCATCTATAGCAAAAAACGCAATACTGCAGTGTACCCTTCTTCCCACAATCTGTTAGCACATTTTCCAAAGCCTTTTATCTGAAAGAAGGACAACCCTTATGAGTCAAGACCATGCCCAAACTGTGCTGCCCAAGACATATTCAGGAAGGATGCAGTCCAGCAGAGCATCAGAAGCTACAGCCCCCAGTTTGCTGTGCTTGCCACAGCCCTTTCTACAAATGGTAAAAATCTGCAGTTACCATTACTGCTCAGAGCTCACTCACCAAAAACAAAACTTCTCAATATTTTAAGGGGCTTTTACAGCAGCTTCTACCTTCACCTATCACTGATATCACTTTTAAACATCATTGTTGAATAACTAAATCCAGCAAGGAAGAAGAACACTTTTTGAAAAGACACCTGAATTTTTGAATTAACATCTCCAAGAACTCCACAGAAAATTGAAGGACTAATTGTATTCTAAAGGAAATTCCTGGCCAGCTGCATCTGCAGCAGTTTTGGTCTTGACAACTTAACGGCAGAATGCTCAAGAATGATATGGCCTCTCTATTCCTTGAGAACAAATCACACGAGGAAAAAAATCCCCTCAGTTCCTAAACCCAAAATGCTAGAAAACAACAGCAACAATGTACTCTGAATGCTTTAACTGATATTTTGATATTTGCCTCCTGACATCGAGAGATGAGAACAATGCAAGGACAAACTGAAAAGCAGTGAGTGAAGTGGCAAAACACAGTTGCGTCCCAATGTCAAAACCCAAAAAGCATTGTCAGAGGCTGTGGAACTATAAAATAAGTGCCACATGCAAATATGGCCAACAAAGCCACAACACAACCACAGGGAGACATATCTCAGTTAATAATTTCCCATGACAGAAATCAGCAAAGCAACAATGCTCAAGCTAGTCAGAAAGGAAGCAACATAGTTGGAACCATTCCCTGAAACTCTACCACTTAATTTCTTAATGAAACCTTTGTGGAAAAAGCTTATAATAGGCAACTTGACCTTGGTTTGTAAACTCTCAGTTCAGTTTTGGATTACAGCAGATTTAGGAGTCACAAAGATGTATTTAGATATCCAAAATTTTCTCAGGAAACCCCATGTGCTCTCTGATGCTGCTGGAATTACTGTAACTACTCATTGAAGGCTAAAGACCTCTACTTCTCCTGATATGTGGGAACTCACATGTCTAAGCATCCTTCCAGACAGAGTTCTGCAAGTCACAACAGGGTAGATCAACAGATTTCAATGTAAGTTACTATACTAGACTACAAACTGCAGTCTTCACCCAATATGTTTTCTTGTATCTCTTCCATGACAAAGGGAAGAGACCTCCCATGGAGAGGGCAGGCAGATAAAACCAGCAGCTTTTAAGCTTCCCCAGCATGAATCAGACCTTGTCCAGGTAACAGTTTAATACTTTCATCCAATATTTCTCTGGTCCCAGAACACACTGTTTAAATTGTCACTTCCACTGCTGTAAGTTTTTATGGTGCAAACCATCTCCATTCCCAATATCCAAGAGTCCATGCTGGCTCGGCAGATGATGTTGGAGTGGACCAATACACCCTAGAGTAACATCTGCAGCTTCAGCAAAACACCTGGTTGCAACAGACCTGCTGCCCAAAAGATCAGGCCACTACTCTGCTGGTGAGCAGCCAGGTGAGCAGTTTGAGAGCTATTCAGCACTGAAATACAGTCACCACCTCTGCTTGTCCTGCATCCTCACATAGAATAAGAGGGGAACAAGAGATGCAGTGAGTACTTCCCTCAGCCGCACAAGCACAGTACTCTAGTCAGATGAATTACTAATCACAAGTGCACACACCTGAAAAATAGACAAAATCCCCTGACCTGAAAGTCATCATATACTTTGTGAAATATGCAACCTCCACAAGACCTTGTTTCTAATGCTGCCATTTAATATTACCTTTATTGACCCCAAAAATGCAATTCTGGAGAATGCCTAGTTATGAAAGAGAATTAATAATATAACAAAAGACATTAAGATTACACAGATAACATGAGCACTGGAACAGTGAAGTCAATCACAAACCACGTATCATCATGTTTAAACTCTGTTTCTTTGGCGCAATCTACTGTAAACTTTTTGTCTTGTTGCTTTCAAAGTGAGTCATTCTGCAAACGCATACTTGGTGTTGAAATCCTTTAATATTTTGCAAGTGGTTTAATTAGCTTGCCACATTACCTTGGAGACAATCCACCATGGGAACAGTTGGTAGGTGAAGTTAAGGGGCTGGTTCTGCTGCTGGAGTGCCGGGAAGGAGTCCGACCAAGGGTATTGCTGGGGGAACCCTGATGCAGAAACAGGAAGACAGGGATTAGCAACGTGTTGCAATGCACAGGCAGGAGTACAACAACAGGTCTGAACATTGCCTTTGCTCTAGACAAGCTTAGTGCAGTTTTGATTCTGTCTGTTGATCTAAAAATCTTCAGCCATGGTTCATGCTGTCAGTAGTATGTTGCTGAAGGTATTATATTCTGAGAATAAAGTCTACGTGTACTTCTCTACAATCCACGGGACCTGAAATTTTAACTATGCAACATGTTTGGCCTGCAAATATTGTCAGAGAAATGGTTCATCAATCCAGCAGGCTATCCAGCTTCTCAGACACGATTTGCCAGGCTCCAAAATATGTAAACCATTATCCTGGCAATTTAGCATTTTAATTACACAGCTATTTTCCACATTGTCTAAAGAATTCTGATTTTTCTTGTTACAAGCATAAGTAAGCAGACTAACTTATCATTTTTCCACTAGCCTGCACAATCATTTATACCACAGCAAAATAAGTAGTAATTGCTCCCAATTCTGACACTCTTCATACAAAGTAAAAAGCATTAGAGAATCCAGACCATTTGCCTGGAAGCCTAACACTGCAGTTCTAGCTTACACAAAGGTCTAACTTGTCCCTGTGAAAGTGGGATAGAAGGGTTCAAATTCCAAAAGGTTCACAAGATTTCAACATAAAAAAACTGACAAAAATACCCTAATCCTTGCTGCTCTGGAAGAAGTTTCTTACTTAAATCCTCTACTAACACACTCCTTCAGAGAAATAAGAATATGTAAGAGCTTAATATAAAAACAAAACATGAGGAAATAGGTGTAGACTGAGGTGACCTTGTAGGTCACATTAAGGATCCTGAAAACGTCTTAATAGACAATATATGCTATAAAACTGATTTCAATAACAGTCATAAGACCAGAAAACCTGCAGTATCAGGATCTGTTTTAGCCAAAAAGTTGTTACTGGCAGGATTTTCAAAAGCACAACCAACATGAAAAGCACAAAGTCCACCAATTTCAATGCACTTCTCAGTCGTTTTTTAAATCTCTTCTGGTTACGACTATATTAAATTTTAACTGAGTTTTTTATTTTAATGGTCCCTATAAAAACAACATCAAACAAAAGCCTCTGTTTCCATATTGCTTCAAGACAACAGTTACAGCTGTTCAAGCTACTGAACATCTGCAACAGCTTATGAGTGAGCTGCTGTCTTCGGGGCTCTGCTGTTTGCAAGGACAAGGGCCACTTACTACACTGGTGTTACTGGAGTTCTTGAGGTGGTTGTGCAGGAGCTTGGTAGCACCATCCTGGAATGTTTTTGGCAAGGCACCAAGTAACATGGTAAACTCAGGAGTGTTCAATTCAAAGAGAGAAATCAGGACTATTTGTGCTGCCTGAAAGGAAGAAAAAAGAAGAGACCATCAGTTTTTGTTCTTTGCAAAGAGCATGCATTCTCTTGGTAATGATCCTGACAGTAAACAATGTGTGTTTCCTTCAAAATGATGACTCCCATACCAGATAAATTTTTGAAATGTTCTTTACGATACATCCTAAGGAATTACTAAAAGCTATAGTTAATGTTTTAATTTTTAGAGCTTACAATATATTTTTGCACATATATCATTAATTTCTCAGATGTGAAGTGTACAGCTATTCACAGCTAGTGAGAAACTTACCATTGTACTCTCCAGCACATATTTCAATTGAAAAAGTTACTGCAAAAATTTACTGAAAACAAATAAAACCAGAAACTCAGATAAGTATGAAGAATCTGGGACTGCAATTTGTTATTCCAATGCTTTTTAAGTGTGAATGGGACTAGTTCTCTTCCCACCCAACCTCTCCTCTTCCTAAGGCTGTGACAAGTTTGATTTAGCAAACAGACAATCCACCTCTCCTTGCAGGTCTCAATGTTGAGGCTGTTTCAGCAACAGAAGACTTCATCTGAAGACCTACCGATGAGAGAACCACCATCCTCTCAACCACAGACAGGCTAAACCCCACCAGATTTCCTAAATTTACTAAGTGAAACCAGGGTACCACTGAAACAATTGAGAATTTTACCATTAATTTTACTGGACAGGGTTTGTTTTAGCTGCCTTGAAGAACTGCTGCCAGAACAGGATCTCCACTAATCCATTAGCAAACATACAGCTCTGCATATCCTGAACTAAGACAATGGAATCAAATGGGAATGGAAGCAGAATAAATCACAGAGTGCAGATCTGCAAGAGTAATTAACATCACATGTTCCTAACTGGACTTCCCCAGCAGCATCCAACCTATGTGGATTGCACCAATTCTGGGCTTTTTCCCCCTGCCTTTACTTTGAAAGTATAAAAAAAATACAAACATTGATTAAAAGAACAATAAAAATGAAGCAATGATGAAGGGCCTCTGATGGCCTGCAGCAGCACCTTCTCCAAGGGGGGTGTAGCCATTGACACATCAACTTCCAGAATTCTTATCTGGACACAAAACAGTGGCTTGGGCTGACAAAGTGATCAGCAAAGGTACACATGCTCTTATTTTGGGACAGCATGCACACAGGCTTAAAGAAGTGCAGGTACTTGTGTTTGACCCTTTCAGGAACTTTCTAAAACCTCCTAAAAATGAAAAAGAACTTTGAAGAGGGTACAGATGTAATTCACTGCAGTGGGAATAAATGTACATTCATTGTTCTCATCAATTTAAAGAAGGAGTTTTGAGTAAGCAATGTGTTCATAAAGTCACAATAATTAAGTGTATCTGTAGTTCCCTGTAGACTGGAATTCTTTAACACATGATGGGTACACAGGAACCCTTTCATAGAGGAGAGGAATCAAAGTACCTCATTGTTTCAGTGTGCAAACTGCAATTCAAGCTCTACTGTTCCTTCTGCTATTAGCAGCAACTAACACAGCTTTGTATATAAAAACATTTTCCATCCACGAAACTTTGGTAAGCATCATCCTTTTCATATGGCCAACAAAGCAACCAAGGTGCACAACACTCAACGGGCTTCCAAGGACTGCAGCACACAACAGGTCTTCAGACTTCATTCCAGATGGATCATGCTGCCTCCTGCCAAAACTCTCACTGACTTGAACAGAAACACAGTACGTCATTATTCACTCCACACTAAAGTTCTACGGATGAAAGAAGTGGGGAGATAATTTTCCCCATGGCTTTCTTAACTCCATAGCCTACCCTCCTCTGACCTGTAGTTTTTGGGCAACTCTGCCATGAAGCCTGCCTGGCATCCAACAAGGACGTGTATTTCTGTCCATTTTGATCCAAGAACTTTTAAGCTTTCACCAGCATAGTATTTTCTGTAATAAAAATATTACTGCAAACAAGAGATCTCAGAACAACAAACAGCATGTTGAACTGAATGCAAAATGACAAGTCATGCCAAAGTACATTCCCATTTGTGAATGGCATGCATATCCCTGATGGTTAGGAGTGAACATGCAGATCCTCTGTATCAGAGCAAGCAGATCTCACATTGAGATAAAAAATAATAAAAAATAAAAATCAAATCAAATCAAAACAAGAAAAAAACCACACACAAAAAAAACCCCAACCCCAAATCAAACCAAATCCCAGAAGAATGGATCAACAAGGTTCTGAGGTTGAGAGATTGCTCAAAGACTAGAATACCTGGAGATATCAAATGGTAAGTCAAGAGCTGCCCAAGGTGGCAAAGGATTTCAGATACCTTTGTCCCACACATCTCCCATTGATGGGTTAAAAATAAAGTCCATCCTTGGAGACCTCCTAAGTAAATAGAGCAAACAGGTACAAGAGCACATGCACCCTATGATGGGACATTCTGGAGGTAACTTCTTGTATGTCAGAGATGTTCAAGACGCATCTCTCAGATCTGAGCAAAACCTTCATGAAAGCTCCACCAGGGACTTTATGATCTGTGCATTCACTTTGAAGTACAGTTACCTAATTAGGACAGTTTAAACCTAACACACAAACACTATGCCCTACCGGAGTAGCTGCAAAGTTTCAGATCTCAGAAGTCACTTCGATTTTGTTCCACTTTTGTGTTTTGGTTCTAATTAAAAGAGAGCTGTACCTGCCCTCCCTCTTTGCACAAACTACAGCTTGTCTTTAAGAGTGTCTGCCAGTATCTGGTGTACCCAGTGCTCTTCAGTAGCTTTGCTGTTGCTGGCAAATAGGTCATGGGCTTTGAATGAAGTGCTGAACAGTAGTTCACAATGCTAAATCTTCCGTGGCCTCAAAGAGAACAGACCTATAGACTATGCTTTTTGAAATAAAGCCAAGTACTACTACGTCCTGAGAGTGGTGTTCCAGTAAAGGGCTCAAAGAGAGTGCTGGCTTTACATGGGTCCACCCGGTGTTCTTTCTAAACAGTCCTCAGCCATCCAACTGCAGTTCCAGGTTTATTTCAGGCAAAAGCTATTCTTTGGAAGTTCAGCCATAATTTCCTACTTAATATTTAACGTAAAGGTCTCAGTCCCTGCTATTGTAAGACCAACACTGTTAGTACTGGCCTCAAAAGCTGGAAAGTCTGTGCTAGCTTGAAATCACATTTATAACATGATCCAAGTTTCACTCCTGCAATACTTCCCAGTTCTACTACAGTTAATTTTATTTCAGTAATGAAGACCATCAGGAGCAGCATTTCTACACCTGTCTTAGTAGTTAGATCTGGACACACTTGATAATCCTCGAAGTTTCATTTATCTAGCATACATTTATCTGGTCAAAGGAATGTTTTCTAAGAGTTTTAAAATCTGTGGATTTTCAGCTTGTGACAAACCAAAGGACATTTTCATAATCTCAGAATCACCGGTCATCTTCTAAAAATCTTGTTACATTAGAATACTGACAGAGCAGATAAATTTAACAAGCACTAAAAAAACTTATTTCTGTACACAATGTACAAACATTCTCCAAGCAACACTTGTGCTTGATAATATATAGTCTGAAGAAAGAGTAATATCTGAATTTTCCCTTGCCTTTGTGTCCCTGTACCATTAGTATGGAACACTAATCCATCTCCTTTCAGTGACATATAACGTAGACTCTACAGATTATCTAATCTTAATGAAGTTGTTCTCTGCTGGCTTGAGCTAGAGAAACTCCAGTGACTTCAGAGCCTGACTATGCTAAAGAGGGGGTCTGGCTCCATGTCAGGTTCTTGAATCATTTGCAAAGGATTGCTTAAGTAACTTCATTATTTTCCATATCACAATGCAGTGAGGGATCAGGTTCCATGAGCCAGTAGCAGCTCCAAAAGCTTCACGCTTAGGTCAGCGCAATTCATGGTGTCCAACAGTGTTGGCTGCCAAAGGAACACAAATGCTTTACCAACATTTGTGTTTTGATTTCACCTAGACAGTGGATGATAGCCAGATTCATCAAAGTCTGTAACCTTTGCAACTTGGTTGAATTACATTAAAGTCTCTTTGAAATGCTTTGGCCTTATTAAGCAAAAAGATCAATGTTAACTGTAAAAATGCAATGATTTTAGAAAAGAAATGTGGTCAGGACCTAAAAGTAATACAAGTGCCTTATGATTGCTGCTGCCACTGGTCTAATGGACCAAGCAGAAGAAGCAGCTAGATGCCTGAGCTACATGAAGGCAGTTTCCAAATTACTCACACATCTGTTGGTGATGGGCTCCCATCACTGGCAGCCCCATAAAAGGAGAGGACTTCATACCCTGATCCTTTATGAGGGACTACAACAAGAGAGTTAGCAGAAAAGCACACCAAAGCAAAAAATTACTTCAGACAGACAGGCTTTTTTCAGGCTCCCAGTCCAGGTTTCTTTACACAGCTAGACAGTTGAGTTGAGACCGCAAACACAATTAGTGTGATTAGTGCAAAAGGCTTTCAGTCTACCTGTTTACATTTCTCTTCCAAGTTTCCTTCACCAGGCCCTGAGGAAGCTGTAGTTGTCCTAGCTGGCAAATCCTCACCCACCCAACTATGCATCGTCTGGGTTTGACAAACAGGAAAGTTGATATTATTCAAAGAAAACACAGATTTCGACTCAAGCATCTAAACAGTACGCATGTTATCTTTTTGCAGAAGAGTTTTAATCAGTTTCTTGCTTAATTTCAAGTAACAAAAAGCATTATTTGGTATCATCAGAGGAGCATTCCTTTCAGCAGAGGACAGCACTGGCTCAAAATTAAATTCAGCGACAACTCTCAGGCTTGCAGATCACTCCTTGGTTCTCCTACACAAGGCTTTGCTTTGGCAACTGCCTGATGGACTCCACAACCACTTGAAAACCTCTGCTGAGATGCAGAGCCTAAGCAGTGCTGAACTGAGATGGCACTTGCATCTGGCCAGCCAGGAGTAGGGGAATAGGTGTGTTTCCCTGCACCTGCCCTTGCAGAGATCTCGAAGTTCAGAAGAAGAAACAG